CATTGTCTAAAATATTTAACCAAGTGTAGTTGAGTATTATATGTCCGTTTTGAAAAATTCAAATTGCAACATATGCAAAAAAAAAAATTATTAATTTTTTTATTATATAGCATAATATCATAAATTAAAAATACTATCATATAAAATTTAAAGAAGAATAATAATTGATTAGTTAGAGAAATATTAGGAAATCATATAATTAGTTATAGAAATAATATAATCTTAAAATTAGATATGGAAAGTATCCGATGTATGTATCCAAACCCAAATTAATATCCAAGTTTGAAGTATCCAATTGTTAAAATCGGATTAATTTTTTAATTTTGACCCGACCCGTATTCTACTTTTTACTTCTCTTTTACTAATATAGAGATTTGGATTTATCGTAATGATATGTAATTTGGTTAGCATATCTCATTAGAGAAAATCCACTTATCTCAAGTGAAAGTACACTTCATAATGCAATAAATTTAAAAGTTGTATTTCATTAACTTAATCAATGGTTTTAATCCCAAAAATGGAGGATTGAGATATAGTTATTCACGAGAAAATAGCTATCGTATGACTAAAGTAGAAGGTGAAAATAAAATAGATGTCGAGAGGCAATGAGTGCACCGTAGAAGAAGACTATAAAGAATAGGTAGTTAAATAGTTATTGAAAATAAATTACTAAACCTTGGAAAGATAATGCTTATGACTAAAGTAAATATTCAACATTTCTTTCATTGTGTGAAATGAATGAGTTTTTAGAAAAATTCATGACATACATTATTATCAAACAGCTTATTATGTTCAAATTCGGGCTTAACTGTTTGGCCATGTGGATATGAAAAGTAAGATAAGATAGTGGCATTCATTTCTTGGTCGAGAATTCTCTTATGGCACGCTACATTTTCTACGATAGATAAAGCAAGCTCGTTAAACATATTATAATGCATAGTAATATATATATATATATATTATTACACTAAATAATTTTCATGGGACTCTGTATATTCACATTTTATATGGAATGATGTCATGTCTGCATCAACATTTAATCATAAATGATATCTACAATCAAGTCAAGAAAAATCGATAATGAATGTGAAATTTTTTAAAGGATATCTTCATGAAATATGAATAAGAAAAAATAAATTTAGTGGTAAAGGTTCATGAGCTGGTCATCGAGAGTGTTTATTTCTTCCCGCTCAAGTGATCTTTGTTACCACATGATTTATATCAAATCATATATTTGTTAGAAAATATTATCATCAACAATATATTTGTTGTATATCGCTTAAAAAATAAGTTTAGTGTTTAATTACATATATTTATCTTTTAAATTTTAAATTGTTATAATTATGTTAAATTAAAATTCCGCGCAGCGCGCGGGTACCTAATTAGTGATAATAACCAACTCTCATAACTAGTAAATCCATATATACGAGACGAGATCATTTCATTGGTTACTACATCGCCAAAATATGTTCTATATATATTAAGCTAGACAAGGTCTTGAGAAATCCTAGCAAGTCATGTTTATTTATATTGTTCTAAGAGCATGATTAATAGGAAGCTCTTAAACTTGTCTCTTAAGTATTTTTTAGAAATAAAATTAAAAAATTTAGAGTTAAGAATTGTATTTTTGTTTTTAGTTTGTATGTATTTTTAATGGTAGGCTCTTAACTTGTGGTTCTTAGGAAATAAATATTTTATTTAAAAAGAAAATTAAATTAAAATTTGTAAATTTAGAAAACTTCATGATTATTGAAAATTAAAAAAAAAACATACATGAGACATAATTATAGCATAAATAACTTAATAATTACTGCAAATTACTCTTTGACTATACATTTTTCTTTTTTACATTGAAATTATGATTTTTTCTTATTTTCAATTTTAAAATTTTATTACTATAAAACATTTAATTCAAGTTGGTTGCCATTTAATTTCTTTGGTTACGAATATTAACTCATATAAAAAATAAAAATAAAATAATGAGTTCTTCTGTTGAGTTTTTAATTTAATTTCTGTGTATTATTAGCCAATTAAACCTTTTTCTTCTTCATGTTCTCCTCCTCTCTATTTAATATAAACCAAGGTAAAAAAAAATATATTTATTGAACACAGTTAAAAGCACGTCACAGCCAAAAGAGAGAGAGCACTGTTTTGTTTTTCCTTCTTCCACCAATCAGTAAATGACAAGTCACTGTCTCTTAACCCATGATTTTTCTCTTAGTTAAAAGACGTTTCTTACCTATTATCATTATTAACCATTTAATTTTAATCACAAAACTACTTAAAAAACCACTAAGAACCTACCGTTAATCATGGTCTTAACATATCAATTTTTGTTATAAACAAGTGCAGTTTTAATTCCTAATTTAAGCATGGAAATACTATGCTTATACTTAACCAAAACATTACATATAATAATGATACATGTACACAACAACATTGAACACCATATACATTTAACCTAATTAAAAATTTATATGTATTATGTTTTATTAGTTATATCATTATTAAAACAGTGTTCATATTTTGTATTCTTTTTTGGATTTAAATACATATTTGAACTAAAACCTATTATTAAGAGGGATTTTTTTTTTGTCTTAAGAACCAATATATCTGAAAGGAAAAACTGTGTCAAAGATTACAAAATGCAATCAACAAATATCAAAAGATCACTTACCTCATATTTTTCAGAAAAAAAACCATCAATTTTTTTTTGTTTAAAGAAACGATATTAATTTTTTATTTTCAGAACTCTATATCATATAAAAGGGAAAAAAAATTCCTCACAAAATAAATTTGAAGAAATAGATTATTTTGTGTTCTTGTAAAATCCCAATCTTAGAATGTGCGGTGAAACTAATTGAATTGACTAGATATGTTATTAAAGTACATATTGTATATATTATTTTCTTGTAATTTATGTGTTACTAAAACTGCAACTCATTTTTGGTGTCACATGTCATAAGTATCAAATTCTAATTTTTTTTAATTTTCAAAGACATTAACAACAAAGGAAGAAACAAATATTTATTATGTCTATTTAAGAAAAAAAAAACTAGATTAGTCATAATTTCTCATCAAACATTATATAATGAGTTCCAGTGTTTTTAAAAAAAAAGACACTTAATGCCGATGTCTTGGGTCATAGAAATAAAAATAATTAGAAGGTTACCTTAATTTGTATATAACTTGCACAAATAAATAATTTGTTTTGCTTGAAAATACTATATATTTTGCTAGCTTATCATTTCATATATTATGCAATGTACATCATTATCTTTGGTTAAAAGCTTAATGTAATAGCCATTTACTCATTTTGTAAATAACAGATAATGTTTATTTGAAACAAAATTTAACGCTTTTACCCAGTATGGAAATAAAAAGTTTATAACACATTTGCTATATATGCTGAGGTGTTTGATATTACTATCATGCATGATCACGTGAAACAAAGTCAACTTGAATTGATTTTTTTCCTAATGAAAGAAGTTAACTTGAAAGCAAATCTGCTATGGTTTTACTTAGTTTATCTAAGGTAAAATATTACATCTCATACAAATGCGCAGCTTCTTTTGAAATATTAATTGGCATATAAATGTGCATAGAAACTCATGAGTAAAGTAAATCTATTTTTTTAGCTTTAGCAGTAAATATGAGTCTTAGTTAGTAGATCTACTAGTTTTGAGTTTTTTCTATGGCGAATTTTTGTTTATGTGCTTAAACCTTGCTTGCTATATTTAGTGATGTGTGATATAATTTTTGTGGAAAATGAAATCTGAAATTAATTCAAAAAATGTATCCTAGACATTTAAGCGTAAGTGTTTACTTGTTAAATGATGGACAGATTCATCATGGCTCGCCGCATTCAAAATGAATTCGTTGTCATATGAAATTCAAACTCGCTCCCACCTCATCCTGATAATAATATAGATACTTTGGAAGACGACGGCGGTAATATTAATAGATATCTGAAAGGTTTGAGTGAGTGAAATACTGATAATCATAATACATTTTGGTATCTTATGGATTATTCACCCATTTTTTTTTCATTGATTCACCTGAAATATGCGAGATAATTTTAAAGTTTTAACTCATAAATCATACGCACTAAGTATAAAACAAATCAATCTTATTTTATAAAATATGGTTTTCAAAGTTATAATTTTTTTTGTAAGAGAATAATTATGACAATTCAAACAAAAAAAAAGTGATAGATCTCCATGTTTACTCTCACCAAACAAAAAGAAAAAAAAAAGTGTAGATCTCCATGTCAACAAAAGTTAATTTATTTTCGGTTTAAGTTGAAAAATATTTGTTAAATATCATGTTACTACGTAAATGAATATAACATATTGTCTCATAACTTAACTCGGATTTTGGATTTGGTTATCCTCAATTTGCAATCCGGTCAATCTAAACCGTATTAATCATCCCTAACCATAACCGTTTAAACCAAACCATGAGAGAGACCTTTACGTTCCCTAATATAAAACAACGGTCACAGTTGTATTCTTCGCATTATCCTTATCCAAATATAAACATACAAAATCTGAACCGTCCATTTAAAGAATAACAAAAGTCAAAAGTCTTCTTGATCCAACCGTTAATATATTAACTAACTCACGTTAATCATGATTAGTATTAACTTAATTAAACCAAAAATAAATATATTTAAAAAACTGAGTCCCCCGATATTTGCTGTAACAATATAAGAATTGAACGAGTTGTCAAACTCAAAAACATTCATAATTAAATTTAAATTAAAAACAATATTAAACTTCGCAACAAGAACCTATTTGTTTTTGTTTTTTGGTTAAAATTATAATAATTATTAAAAACCTAGGACTTATCTCTTCTTAACCATCCAAGAATCTTTGAGATCTTATCTGTTTTACAGTTACTAAAAACTCTCTAAATATATAAAAAAATAATTTGCACGATCTTTTTTGTTTTATATTTGTTTTTTTTTTCTTTTTTTCATTCATCACTCTTGCCTTTGTGTTTTTGTGTTTGTGGCTCTCACGCTCTTGTGTGTCTCTTTTGATTCATTCAAACAAATGTGAGTTGTTGTTTTCTTGATTTGTTTTTGTTTTTGTCTTCTTAGTCTTTCTATGATGACAGTTTTTTTTCTTTGTTCTTTCTTATTTTTCAGACAAATCTAATGGTTTGAAGAATTTGAGTTGCATGCTTTAATTACAATTGTCGTCTATAATCTCTCAAAATTCCCATTCAAAGATCGGTTAATTAGTGGTTATGGTTAATCTTTCTCGGATTATCATCATCTACTGAGGTAATTTTTTCAGTTTTTTTTCTTATAGATCCTCTCTCTAATCATTTGTTTGTTTACTCATTTAAAACAAAACATTCTTTCTTTAAGACAAATGTAGTAATCATGTTCATGTTCTTGGTTTAGTTTTGTCTTAAAATGTATAAGAGATGAGTATAGATGTAAACATGATGATGTTTTTTAAAAAAAAAAATGGAGGAGTTCTTGAAATTCTTGTTTTGTTTGATTGTATAATTGTGACTTAGATCTTGGTCATTGTTCTTCTTATCCATACCATTTGTATATTTTGTTTGACTTACGATACAAATCTTTTTTTTTTGTATTGGGTATAGATTATGAACATGTGGGTTTCATGAGTGAGTCTCACTCTTCTACCTCTTTTGGTTACAACTTGTTAGTTTTTATGTGAATTTTTTGACTAAATCTAATTAGTATGAATGATTTTGCTTTGCAGAGAGTTAAAGAAGATTTTTTGTTTTAGAGATGAATTTCACAGAATCAATGAACGTTGTGCACAAACGAATCCAAGAACTTGAGCCAGAGAATGCATCAAAGATCATTGGTTATCTCTTATTGATGCAAGACAATGGAGACCGTGACATGATCCGTTTAGCTTTCTGTCCTGATTCTGTGATTCATTCTGTTATCAATTGTGTTAAATACGAATTAGCTAAAAATGCTCATCATTACCACAGCCCTCCTTCTTCTGATCACATTCCTTCTACTCATAAATTCGGGTCATTCGCGGGTTCATCGCCTCTTTCGGTTTCGGTTTCTCCTCCTATGAAAACCGGTTTCTGGGAGAATTCGGCCGAGATGGATTCCTTGCAGAACAATGTTCAGTTCTTGAATTTTGAGGATTCTTTGACAAGTCCTGAGTTCTCTAACGGGTTCTTCTCTCAAGAACGTCAATGTTTGCCTTTGAGAACGAGCAGGAGATCGCCGAGTTTACCCGAGTTCCCGGTCAAGATCTGCCATTACTTTAACAAAGGGTTTTGCAAGCACGGTAACAACTGTAGGTACTTCCATGGTCAGATTATACCGGAGAGGGAGAGTTTTGCTCAGATGTTTAATCCTAATAATAGCCTAAGTGATGAAGAGCATGTTGTTTCCCCTGGATCACTTGAGAAGCTAGAAGGAGAGATCATTGAGTTACTAAAATCTAGAAGAGGCGCTCCAATCTCCATAGCTTCTTTGCCTATGATGTACTACGAAAAATACGGTAGGACTCTTCAAGCTGAAGGATACCTCACAGAGTCACAAAGACATGGCAAAGCTGGCTATAGCCTTACCAAGCTTCTTGCTCGCTTGAAGAACACCATCCGCCTCATCGACAGGTTTGTTTTGTTAATACTTCTATTTCTATTCAAGTATTGTCTTAATGCCAAATTTCTTATTCAATGGTGTTTGAAAATTTGTAGGCCTCATGGTCAGCACTCGGTTATATTAGCTGAAGATGAATCAAAGTTTGTCGAATACACGGGAGAAAGAAACGAACATGGAGCGATCCTCGCTGGTTCAAGACAGATTTACTTAACATTTCCGGCAGAGAGTAGTTTCACTGAACATGATGTCTCAAACTACTTCTCCAAATTTGGACATGTAGAAGATGTGAGGATACCTTGCCAGCAGAAAAGAATGTTTGGTTTTGTAACATTTGCTTACACAGAAACTGTCAAACTCATTCTTGCCAAAGGCAATCCTCATTTCATTTGCGGTGCTCGTGTCCTCGTCAAGCCTTACCGGGAAAAATCGCGCTCTAGTAGATACCTTGACAATAACAAGCCTCTACAAGGCATGCGATATGGCTCTCAATTCATTGACAGAGACATAGAGATGAACACATGTAAGTAATTAACGAAGTTAAATTATATGTTTATGTTTTTTCATTGTTGTATAGTTTCATTTTGAAGTGTTTTTACTTTTATGTTGTTCTAAGTGCCACCGCGGGTTAGTGAGAGCTCTAGAATAATGAGGAAGCCATTTCCTAATGAACATGAACAATCAGTTTCTAAGTCATTACCTACTAATTACTCCTACCTTGGCTTCTCTTCGGATGACTTCAAGCTAACATCAAATGGTAAGTATATCTTTAACTTAAACAAGATAGATCATCTTAGTTTCAGGATTAATTTCTTGACTTTTCTTAATTTGTAGCTGAGCAAGAGGAACAAGCGGAACGGTTGAGCTATCTATTGGACTATTTGAACACCGAAGATAATGTCATGAACATAACCACTAACTACAGAGACAATGATCGGTATGTTTTGATATTAACAAACACATTTTGAGATATTTTTATCTTTGGTTTAACCATATATGATGCTTTCTTTTTATTTAGGAGAACTCATTGTGAATCGTTGGACAGTCAAGTCCTGAATCTACCCGAGAGTCCGTTTTCTTCCCTTTCGGGGAAGGAGATTTCGACGGTTACATAGTCAGAGAGAAAGAGACTGATACATAACCAAAAGAAGAGAAGAACATAGGAGCATAAAGGTTAGAGGGAATCCCCAAAGATCTAATCAAATTATCCGTCGGCGAAAAAAAAGAGATTTGGTTTTATTTTTCATTATCTTCTTTCGGTTTTTCGACTGATCGATGGCATGGCGAATTTAGGTCTTTTTAGCAATAACACTACAAAGAAGAAGGAATAGAGAAACACCACAACAAAGAGCTACTGGTTTGCTTCAAAAGTTACAATAAGAGCCGACCAGTTTGTGAAACATAAAGTAAAAGGGGTATTATAATAATAATAATTGGAGACGTTTATGAAAGGGTTTGGTTAATCTTCTATTTGTGTTTGTTTCTTTTTCAACTTTTTTTTCTTTATCATATAATCTCATTGTACCATTGGGGATGCCTTTAGTTTTTAAGCAAGAAGGATTAGTGTACATTAGTTAACAACTATTCAAAACTCTTGCTGTAGTATCACATTGTGTCTACCACAAAAGTAAGTCAACTTGAGGCTTGATACCATATTAGTGACTTATACATAAAACTTCACAGAATCAATCATCTATCAAAGTCAAACTCACTTTTGAGAACATGCACACCAGTTAAATTAACTCAGATAGGTTGAATAGAAATATTTAAATTTATGGTGTAAAAAATGTAAGACAACATCTTTTTATTTAATAGTTAGTCAATTAAGAAACAAATTTAAAAAAGTAACATGCAATCCTCAATGTTTTGGGGCAAACAAACAAAAGTTATATTGATCCCACACCAACAGATTATATTGAGATCTATCGAAACAACAGTACGACTATTAGACTATGGACTTTCAATTTAAAACCAGTTGACAATTTTGGAAAAGTTCATATATCTTACACACTGTCATGATTCTTATATCTTCCGATGTGTGACATTATATCCCTAACAACAACTTGGTTAGACCACTTTTTCTCATATACGTACAAATGATCATCTAAACTGCACATGAAAATATCTAAAGGAACGACATGATAGAAAGGAGCTTTAGAGATGGCTTGGAATGTTTCGGTGTAAAGATCCAAAGACAAGACATTGGTTTCGCCCTGGTCCGGGGAGGCAGTAAACCAATGAAGTGAGCCATCAAAATACACAGGAGCTTGGGTGTAAAGACTCAAATAAGGGAACACAGACACAACGTACCTCCAAGCATTGGTTGCAAAATAAAAAAACTTCACAAGTAGTAGCCTTATTCGTTTATGTCTAACTAAACAGAGTTATATAAACATACATTATAAGCTTTTATGTGTCAATGATGTTTTTCTTTACCAAAACCATGACCAAGGGTGTGGAACTTGCCTCACCCTGAGTGTCTCACTCTCCTTCAAATCAACACATTGATAGTTACAAGGAGGGAGAGTAGGGATGCTTGTAGTAATGTTCACAACTAGGTTTATCATGTATTTTCACTAATGTTCTAAAATAATACGCTATACGCTATTCATACGGCTCATCACCGTTTAGCGTGTAGACGTATATACGACCGTTTATGCAGAGACTATACGGTAGATATATTTTCATATGTAGACATAAAATGTGTTACAATATGTATATTTTACATATTGATAATTTACAAGTTTCTAGATTTGTCTATTTATAACACAAGATTGGTTCACGGAGCAGACGTGAAAATAATAAAACTCAAAACCCTAGTTTATATAAACTTATATATGAGTCTCTTTGTCTTCTTCTTCCTTTGGAGAAAAACTATGATGATGTCCTATCTTCCAGTGGATTTGGTAGAGGAAATACTCTCTAGGATCCCGGCTATATCTATGACGCGATTACGACCTACTTGCAAACTATGGAACGCTTTATTTCAAAGCCGAGGATTCAGGGAGAAGCACTTCTGTACAGCTCCAAAGGAGTCTTTGGTTCTATTAGGGACGGATGATAATGTTTGTTCATTAAGAGTCAATCTCAACGTTGCTGCTCCGTCTATAGAGTTTAAGAGTGCACTTACCTTAAAGGATTATTTAGATTATAATTCAGAAAAAGTCTATATAAAAACAGTTTTTCATTGCGATGGTTTGTTGTTATGCACTCTCGATGATGCTAGAATCGTCGTTTGGAACCCGTGTTTGGGGGAAACCAGGTGGATTCAACTTAAAACTCATGATCGTCCTTCAGGGCCGGTCCTAGACTTTTTGTGGCCTAAAGCATTTTTATAAATAGCCTTAATATTTATTATACGAAAAATAATTAGTTACATTGAAATTTTCGGGAAAAAAATATGTTTCAAATTTATTTTTCAAAAAAGAATATGTCCAACCTATATATTGACACATGATAAAATTTATTTTATAGATTATATATATATATATGTATCTAATTATCTTAATTATATTTTGTAAATAATTAGGTAGTATAATTACAAAAGTTGGTTAGATATTTTAACATTTTCTAATTTTTCCTATCAAATTCATTAGATACTAAATAGTGGAAAATTCCTCTAATTTTTTATAATATTATAGGCTTTTTAGAAAATAATTTAAAGTGTAAAGTAAACATTTAGGATGACAGATTTAGAAATTTTAGAAAAATGAAAGTCAAAATAGAAGAAAAATAAAGAACAACAAAATAATAGTTATATGATAAGGGACCAAGAGTATAAGAAAGAAACAGTACTTTTAAAATATAACTAGGCCCGGACCCGCGCTACAGCGCGGGGGAAAAGTGTCGGTTTTTATTTTTTTCCGAATTACGTAAACTTTTAACTGTTAAAATGGATTGTTGGTGTTGAATGTGGCAAGTATGAGAATATGTACTATCATGAATGTGTACTTTGTCACGTATGATAGGTTCAGATCCGCGCTATAGCGCGAAAGAATATTTTCAGGTTTATTTTATTTTAACGTGTTTTGTCGTATGTGTTATTATTTCGCTCATTTTAGTATCAACAATTATTATTTCGATTGTGTATATTTGGTTTCAATTCTTTGAGAAAAGTGTGTTTTCGGAAATTAAATATAATATTTTTATAAACTAAATAAAAGAACGTTTATTAAACAAATTGTATACTCACAATGTTTGTGGTGACGAACCAATCAGCAAAAACCCGTGTATTTTAAAAAAAATCATGAAAATATATGATATTGAAAAATTATGAAAATCATGTATATACATGTATCACACAAGAACATATGAGTTTGAAAGATTTGTATATACTTGTATCCTATAAAAATAAAATAAAAATATTAATATACTTCATATTAAATAAGAGACCATAATATTCTTGTTATTCACATATTAAAATATTTAGAACATTTTAAGGAAAATTCAGAATTTAAGGTAATTTATTTAAACTAACTCATGGAATATATTCTTTATGACTGATTTTGTATTAGTAGTGATTCGATGATTAATAATTACAAAGATAAAATATTGTTATTAAAGTATTTTTAGTTAATTACAATAATTATCCTAAAATTTTAATTATTTTTTTTGTATCCAAAATATTTCGTATTACTCATTGAAATATATTAATGATTGTCAAATTTCTTTTTTTTTCAAAATTCAAATATAACCATTTCTAGATATATATGGATCTCTATAATTTTGCATTAGTTATGCTATTGATAAAATATTATTCTTTTTTTTATAGGTAATTCAAATTGATAAAGATTGGAATAATTTTGAAACCTCTTTTCATATACTATTTTTTTATTCTGATTAAATCTTTCATTTAACATATTAGGAAATATAAAAAATAATAATAAAGATTTAATATATATAAAATCTTTCGTTTTTTATAAAATCTTTAATAAAATCTTTCTTTTTTTATAGCCACACCTACCGCTAGAGTACTAAGGACTGAAATTAATGCAAACTAATTAACATTTTTATTAATTATATTACCATTTTTATGTATTTTAGATGCATTTTTATATTTGTTATACCAAATATTTTTAAATTATATTTTTCTATATATCAAATATTTAAACTTATAAAAATTTATAATTTTTTTTTGTTTTTTCATATAAGAAATTAATATAATAATTAGAATATTTTTAAAAGATTGAGATATTTATATTCATAAACAAATTTTCCTTATAAGACATATTTTTTATTTAGCATTAATATAGTTTCCTAAATGATAGGAATCTGGTGTATATTATTGAAATATTTGAAAAATATTTAACAAAAAATTTGGCAAGTATCCGATTGAAAATTTAACCCGGAATTTTTTGAAAAACCCGACCCGAATCCCTTTTGTACTTCTCTTTTACTATAGTAGGGATGTTGGATGAAGCATTAAAAAGGTAAATAACACTATTTTGAACCATCAAAACAATACATATGTGGCCTTGTTAATTATTAAATAATGTGGCCTAAAGCTATTGCTTCATTTGCTTTACCATAGGGTCGGCCCTGTCGTCCTTGCTCTACGTATGCTTTAGGGTACCAAAACAACCATAGCTACAAAATCTTGAAGTGTTGGGACTCTGACGGACCACGATCCGGTGATGTTGTATTTGAAATCTATGAGTTTAGCTCTGATTCATGGAACGTTTTTGATGAAGTCTCTATGAACGGCTTCACACCAGCTCATACTGGTGTGTCTTTGAAGGGAAATAGTTATTGGGTTAGTTTCTATGAAAGTGATTACTTGGTAAGTTTTGATTTCACAACAGAGAGATTTAAACATTTGTGTCTTCCTCTAGTTCAAGAATTGGATTGGGAGGACGTTATACGTCTATCAATAGTTAGGGAAGAACAACTCTTAGTGTTACATCTAGACAATGATACATCAATCATAGATATTTGGATAGCTAATAACATTGGTGATACATTGTCGTGGATGAAATCATTTACGATTAATTCTCTTTTTTATCCATGATCCCCTTTAAGCTTTCTGATCGATGAGGAGAAGAAAGTGGTCGTGTGTTGTAACATAAGTAAATTTGACAAGTACATGGTTGAGACTGTTGGAGAAGACGATGCATATCACACTAAATACCTTGTTGAGTCATCTAAAATATTGAGATGGACTCCATGCATATTCAGTTATGTTCCAAGTTTGGTTCAAATCTAGCCAAGTAACAGAAAATAATGAAACTAGTAAGGAGTATTTGTTGAAGCTCCTCTTTCTTTGGTTTTGTATTTTCGTTCGATTATCGATTATTTTAGTTTCTATTTTTCTTGTTACATTATGATTCATTTCTTCTTTGCATTATGAGTTTAGAGCATCTCCAGACTCCAAAGGAAGATGCTTATTTTGAAGTGTTAAACAAATTTTTATTAATTTTAATGATTAATTTGAATTTGTGAAACTTCTAAAGGATGATTAATTTTTCTTCTTCCAATGGTGAACTCTATAAGGGTTCTAAAAAAATTATTTTTAATATAATTTATTTAAAAAAATATTAAAACCAAAATTATATTATATTACATGAATACAAACATATAAAATATAAAAATTGAAATAAAACATATATTCAAAATGTTTAGTTGAAATCTCTCACAAAAAAAAATCTCTGTAGTTACAGCAACAATAAACCTATGTACTTGAGAATCGTCACATAAACAAAAAGCTACACGATCCCGTTCATTGATTCACGTTCAGTCGTTCACCACACATGTTGTTTTGTCATACCAGTGTCTGAATTCCTCCACAATACACTGCCACTGTTGTCTTTATTTTCTGATACTGAACTCTTTGTAAATCTACCCAACGACACCCTACGCTTGAAAATTCTCCGATCATAACTCCAAAGCTCAACAAAATCAAAGAAAAATCAAAATCGCATCTCTATCGCCTTTGGCAACTCAACAGAAGAAGAAAAAGTTTTGACGAGAGAAGAAAGAGAGAGACAGAGACCTTTTGTTAATTCTTTTTCCCTACTCTACAGTTTCAATCCACTAAAAAATAAACACGTGGCCTTAAAGAGCGGTACCAAAACTCCTTCGTTTTAGGTGCTCCTAAAACATTTATACACATTCTGATTTATTTTTTATCACTTTAATCTCAGAATCTCTAAAAAAAAATTTGTTTAGACTCTCCAGGGAGATGGTCTTACCGTGGTCTCGTGTAGAGCTCTTGACAACGTTACTCTCAGCTGCACCATACCGGGCTGATCATATTAATGTATCTGGGGAAAATACTTACACTATGATTCAGGTGGGCCGAGAACAGGCCCAAATTGAAAAATTTCTATTACCGAAAACCGTAAACCGAACCGGGAGTGAAATTTTCGAACCCGATTTTGACCGAACCAATTTGACATCATCGCCGAATCTTTCTTTCACCTTTCCCGATTCAAATTTTTTTCTCGCACTCTTCTTCTTCATCTTCATCTTCGTTACCTGCTTCACATAAACCCTAAACCCCTTTTCTCGCTCTCTTCCTGGGTTCAAAATCTGGGGAAATGTTCTCTCCGTTGACGAAGAGAGCTAAGCAGAGCTCTCGTAATGAAAAAACTCCACGCAATCGAGTGGCTCCGCCGGATTCTCCTGTAACTCCGGCGACTCAAAATCGGAACAGTTTAATCTCAGATCGTCCTGCCACTGGAACTCCTGCTCCTTGGGCTCCTCGTTTATCGGTTCTCGCTAGGTATTGTATTCTCCCTGTGACGAATTTTGCTTACATTTCTACTTTGATTTGGTGAAATTGATTTATGTATCTGTTCATGGTCGTTAGAGTTTCTCCTGTAAATATCGGTGAAAGAGGAGATGATACAGATCAATTGAATCCTGTATTCGTTGGAGAGTTTCCTCAATTGTTGCGAGATGAACAAAGTTATCTTGGTTAGTATTCTTTGCTTTAAAGATAGAAGTAGAACAGTTACTTTGTGAAATGAAATGTACTTAGTTTTTTGCTTGTTCTTATTCACTAGGTGATGCTTGTGTATCCGGTGGTATGGATACAGAAACTTGTCTCTCTTGGTTTATAAGTGGAAGTAAACTTTTTGTGTGGAGTCACTTGACAACCTTACCGTCGAGGAAATGTGTTGTTCTTGAACTTCCTTCTTGTGTTTTGGCTAATGAAGAGTCTGGTAGTGGTTTACAAGATGGTAAAGGCTGGTTGATTAGTGTTGTCCCTTGGGATACCTCTGCGGGTGCTGCAAGTAGGGCTGCTCGATCTCGTAGTCCTGTTGGTATTGTTATGTGTAACAGGAAAACTCGAGCTGTTGTGTATTGGTCAGATATCTTTTCTGGTCAGGAAGCTGCCCCTGTAACTGATATTGGATCTTCTGATGAAAATGTTGTTTATAGTTCACCTATAGGTAGAAAAAGCTCATCATTCAGAAAGAGACAAAGCAATGGGATTAGAAGCGGGAGAGCAGAATATAGTGATCTCAATTCATTGATTACTACTGCAGTATCTGCAGCTGAGCGCCTTTGTATTGCTATTGCTTGCAGTTCTAATGGTGAGCTATGGCAATATACTTGTAGTCCTACAGGTGTTAAAAGTAGTCAAGTACAGTTCAACGTCAGCTCTTCCCCCATAAGTGAGGGGTATCCAAGGTCCTTGATCTGGCGATTTTCACAAGGATTAGCAAGAGAGTCCTGTTGGCAATTTTTTATGCTGACAGATTGTGACATACATTGTTTTAATATTGAACCCTATCCTGGTCTTACTGTTTTAAAAGTCTGGCAACATGAGATTATTGGCGCTGATGGTGATTCAGGTATCAAGAAAGATATAGCTAGCCAAAAGCAGATTTGGCCTCTTGATCTGCAGGTGGATGATCAGGGTAAAGTGATTACTGTTCTTGTTGCCACTATCTGCATGGACCGTGCCAGCAGTTCTAGCTATACACAATATTCGCTTTTAACCTTGCAACATAAATCTGAGATGAGATTTTCAGATGGGACAGAGGAAAGATTTCTGGAGAAACAAGGCCCAATCCAAGTCATAATCCCAAAAGCAAGAGTGGAGGATAAAGACTTTTTATTCTCTATGAAACTCAGAGTTGGTGGTAGACCCGCAGGGTCAGCTATAATTCTTTCAGGTGATGGAACAGCCACAGTTTGCTACTGTCATGGAAATTCTACCCGGCTCTATAAGTTTGATTTACCTTATGATGCTGGCAAGGTCTTGGATGCTTCAGTTCTCTCCTCAAGTGATGAACATGAATATGGTGCATGGACTGTGCTTACTGAGAAAGCAGGAGTATGGGCAATTCCAGAGAAAGCAGTTGTGCTTGGTGGAGTTGAACCTCCAGAGAGAAGTTTGTCACGCAAAAATAGTTCCAATGAGAGGTCTACACGGGATGAGACAAGGATAACACCATATGGCGTTGATAAAACTGCTGGAAAGGAGAAATCTGACATACGAAATAATGGAGACAAAGGAAACCCTAAAATGGGACTTACTCGTCAAACAGCCCGTGAGGAAGAATCAGAAGCTTTGCTTGGCCAGCTCTTTGAGGATTTTCTGTTATCTGGGAAAGTTGATGGATCATTGGAGAAGCTTAGTCAATCTGGTGCATTTGATAGAGATGGAGAGACCAATGTTTTTGCTCGCAAAAGCAAATCTATAGTCGACACATTAGCTAAGCATTGGACAACAACTAGAGGGGCTGAGATAGTGGCTATGACTGTTATATCCTCGCAATTGGTTGAGAAACAACAGAAGCATGAGAATTTTCTACACTTTCTTGCTCTATCTAAATGCCATGAGGAGCTGTGCTCTAAACAGAGTATTTACTTTTATCCCTCACTTGCTTTTTCTTCGTACTGTAGCATGATTCTACTTCATTATTGCATACACGATCAAACACAAAATTTTAATGCTTGTAGATGAGACTCTAAATAATAGTAATATGTCTCCCAAGCATAGATGGTCCTTCATTTATAAAACCTTGTGAACTGTTAAATTATTCTAGTTGGCAAAAAGATTGACCTGAGCTAATATATATCTTTTATGGCAGGAAAGTCTTTGCAAATAATTCTGGAAAATGGTGAAAAACTTGCTGCCATGATTCAACTCCGGGAACTGCAAAATTTGATTAACCAGAATCGCTCAGCTAGATTTGGCTCTCCGCATGCTGGCTCAGAGGATCAAGTTTCTTGTGCCCTTTGGGATCTTATTCAATTTGTAGGGGAAAGAGCTCGGCGAAATACTGTTCTCTTGATGGACAGAGATAATGCTGAAGTTTTCTACAGCAAGGTATCCGAACTTGAGGAAGTATTTTATTGTCTGAACAGGCAACTAGAATACATAATCAGAGCTGACCAACCACTGGGAACTCAAGTGCAGAGAGCCTGCGAACTCTCAAATGCATGTGTTACCATTCTTCAGACTGCCTTAGATTACAAAAATGAGCATCAAATGAGGTATCCACCACTTGAAGGTTTAATACCTTGGCACTCTCAGCCTGTTGTATGTAATGGACTGTGGTGCATTGCGTCCTTTATGCTTCATCTGTTAACTGAGGCATCTAGGATTGATATCTCTGCTAAATCAGATATATACACACATCTCGAAGTACTTACTGAAGTTTTACTTGAGGCTTGTGCTGGTTCTACCTTTGCAAAATTGGAGATGGAAGACGAAAACAAAGGTTTGCTTAATGAGTACTGGACTAGGCGGGATACCATTTTTGACTCCCTTTATCAACAAGCTAAAGAGTTTATGGAAGCAGAAATCCAGGTTAGCACCTATTTGCATGTGGTGCACTGCATATCATTTTTGTGTTAAATTACACCATGAATTCGTTTTGTATCTGTAGGGCATCAGAGAAAGAACTGAAAGGACGGATGAAGATATCTTCAGAAACCGTTGTTCAAATTTGCTATCCATTGCAAAGCGACATGCAGGCTACAAAATTATGTGGAGGATATGTTATGATCTCAATGATACAGAGCTGCTCAAAAACTTAATGGTATGAACTCATGCTTCTACTTTCCTTAGTAAACTCAAAAGCGTTAGATTTCTTGTGGTTATTTTGCTTATCAAATATACTTTTGAGATTGCACGGCAGACAATTTGTTGTATGATTTTTGTATGATTTTTGTCTGTGGCAGTTTGGAACATCTTTTACTCTTGTTAAGTGATAATAATTAATTATCTCTTCCTTTACCATAGTTAGCTTGCTCCGTTTCTATGTTCCAACTTAGTTAATACCCTTCAAAATTCCTGTGCAGCACGAGGGTTTAGGGCCACAAGGAGGGTTCAGTTACTTTGTGTTCCAGCAACTCTATGATATGAAACAGTACTCTAAGCTTCTACGGCTTGGAGAAGAATTCCAGGACGAGCTACTGATATTTCTAAAGCGCCATTCTGATCTGCTGTGGCTTCATCAGGCGTTTCTCCATCAATTCTCATCTGCTTCTGACACTCTTCATACATTGGCCCTAGCACAAGATGAAGAGTCTATGACAACTATTGAAGAAAGAACGGCGTCAGAACCTGAAGATTTACAACCAACATTCGCAGACCGCAAGCGGTTTCTGAACCTTTCAAAGATAGCCTATGTGGCAGGTATAATAGTAAATTCTCTTTTGGTGGTATATCCATTCCACATGTTATTGTTTGTGATTATCTTTCTTTCTCACTTTCTTGGTAACTGTCACATTGCAGATAAGGATTCTGATTCCGAATCGAAAGTGAAGCGCATTGAAGCTGATCTCCAGTTACTGAAGCTGCAGGTAGAGATACTCAGCTGTGTTAATATTTCTCCTGTATAAAATGATGGTAAAAGTCAGCTATGTAAATACTCTCTATCGTAATATCTGGCAGGAAGAAATTACAAAATCTTTGCCAAATGGAGAAGCCAAAAACCGGCTGTTCCGAGCAGAGGAGCTCATTGAAATTTGTCTCAGTATCCAGGGGCGATGGACAGCTATAAAAGCTTTTGAGGTGTTTGCATGGACTAGCGCTTCATTCCGTGAGAATCATAGGAGTCTTTTAGAAGAATGCTGGAGAAATGCCGCGGATCAAGACGACTGGGACAGACTCCACCAAGACTCTACTAATGAAGGTTGGAGCGACAAAGAAACATTACAGAATCTAAGGAACACTGCCCTTTTCCAGGCTTCCAAAACGTGTTACGGACCAACCCGAGTCAACACTTTCGATGGAGATTTCGCTCAAGTCCTATCCCTGAGAAGAGAGAACCCTGAAGATTCGACTTCTTCCGTAGAGGAAGTGTTGATGAGCCACAAAGATTTCGCCGAAGCCGGGAAACTTATGCTAACTGCAATCATGCTTGGTTGTGTAGAAGAAGAGAGCATTGTAGCAGAAGAGTTCTCATCTCCAATGGATAGTTAAATTTTTCTTTCGAGTAAACGTGACAATGTAAATGATTTTAAGATTTGTTTTATGAGTTACTTATTTGACTGAGATGATTGTAAGATTTTGAGTTTCCCTCTTTATGATATGTCGAATCTACCAAATTGAAAACTTGATGTACCAAACAAAACATAAATTATGTTTAAAACAGTATTAATCCCGGTTTAAGATTAAAAGAAACACAAAACCAAGATATGAAATATCATCATCACAAAGAATAGCCAATCAAAATCTCCCACTGCCAGGTGGCATCACCACAGCCACTACCAATCTCCTCTTAGGACCAAGGAAAAAATCTCAACTAAAACAAAAAATCGGATTCGGACCAGACCAATCCAATAAAAAATCAGTCTATCCTCTCACTAAACCACAAAGATCTTCTACTGCCAGATGGCACCACCACAACCATTACCAATCTCTTCTTCAGACCAAAGAAATCTAAATTAAACTCTCTCAACCAATCAGAACTCGCTTACGTGTACATATGATAATCCTCTAACATGGAACAGAACACCACCTCTGTTATAAAACTCGATTGGTTTTCACAATCTCATCTCAAACTCAACTCATAACTCTCTCTTTGATCTCTTTCTTTCATTGTTGTTAAAAAACAAAGATTACGATAATGGCCACATCAGCTATCCAGCAATCCTCCTTCGCCGGCCAAGCGGCTCTCAAGCCCTCCAACGACCTCCTCCGCAAGGTTGGTGTCTCCGGTGGTGGCCGTGTGACCATGCGTCGTACCGTCAAATCTACTCCTCAGAGCATCTGGTACTAAATCTGATCTCTCTTCCTCTAATTTGTTTCATCCTTAAATCTTCAGATCTGTCTAAATACCAACGATCTGATGTTGTAACAGGTATGGACCAGACCGTCCCAAGTACTTGGGACCATTCTCGGAGAACACACCTTCATACCTAACCGGAGAGTACCCAGGAGACTACGGCTGGGACACCGCTGGACTCTCGGCTGACCCTGAGACATTCGCTAAGAACCGTGAGCTTGAAGTGATCCACAGCAGATGGGCTATGTTGGGAGCTCTCGGATGCACATTCCCTGAGATTCTCTCCAAGAACGGTGTTAAATTCGGAGAAGCCGTTTGGTTCAAGGCAGGTTCTCAGATCTTCTCAGAAGGAGGTCTTGATTACCTAGGAAACCCTAACTTGATCCACGCGCAAAGCATCTTAGCCATCTGGGCTTGTCAAGTTGTGCTCATGGGTTTCATCGAAGGATACAGAATCGGAGGTGGACCACTCGGAGAAGGTCTTGACCCACTTTACCCCGGAGGTGCGTTCGACCCATTGAACTTGGCAGAGGATCCAGAAGCCTTCTCTGAGTTGAAGGTGAAGGAGCTCAAGAACGGTCGTCTTGCTATGTTCTCCATGTTTGGATTCTTTGTCCAAGCCATTGTTACTGGTAAAGGTCCCATTGAGAACTTGTTTGATCACTTGGCTGATCCTGTGGCTAACAACGCCTGGTCTTACGCCACTAACTTTGCCCCCGGACAGTAATTATCATATGTATTTGTTTCGTAATCTCTCTACCTTTGTAACCTCGTGAATGTGTTATCGATGTTTAATGTGAACTTGTCAACTTCATGATCTTTCTTTTGTATGGCCATTTTTTTTTTTATATATAATTGATCTGCACATTTGGCTAGTATCAAGACTACATGACTGGTCCATATAAGCCAAATCTAAGTAGAATTGTTTGGACCATACAAAACCAATGTTAGAATGAGTGGTTGACAAAATTTGGACCATACATATAACATAACCAAAAACATAAGTTCTCAAAGCAAACATCAAATTACATATACCGAAGACCTTCAAAGTTAAATTAAAGAATCTTGCTAGACTCATACACTACCAATTTACCTAAGTTGTGAAAGCCTGAGCTCAATTTTCTCCAATTCTAGTGCTATATCATTAGTATTATTATTACTCTGCACTAGAGGCTCTATGATCTTATTGACATCTCCACACAAGTAGCAATGCCTCAGCAGTGTAAAAGCATTTTTCCTCTTGTCAGTCTCGGCCGCGAAGGAAGTCATCACAAAGAGTTTTGCATCACAAGGAAGGTCTTTAGGAATCAATGGCATGTAACCCTTCTTGAGATCTTCTAAGTCATAGTTTTTATCCCACCAAGGTTTCTTCCCAGTGTACATTTCCAAAACCACACATCCCAAAGACCATAAATCCAAACCTCTCCTTCTCTCACCGTGCAAAACCGATTCGGGGGACATATATATCGGTGTTCCCGCAAACATACAGTACTGATGATTCCATCAGCTACAGTGACCCTCTCTTTTAGACAAACCGAAATCCGAAATCTTAAACTCATGGTACTCATGTAAAAAATAATTTTTTGTAACATTAAAAAAATCATATTGTGATATTTTTGGGGAAAAAAATTATGTGTTATCTAAGAGAATTTCTCTAAATTTAAATTTTAAAGGGTTAATTGCGTGTGCACACACACTTTCAAAATTTTAATTGCACTATGACACACTTATAAACTCATGGTGCACTTTGGAAAAGTTTGTTTACTCTCTCACCCTCACTTTGACAACATATTAACTCATTTGTCATCCCAACTAAAATTCCACACAACTAAACACTTACGTTCTCTTCCTCTTCATTTTCTTCTTCCTCTTTTTCAATTCTTTCCCTTTTTTTTCTCTTTCTCTTTCTCATTTTTTTGTTTCTTTTTTATAATCACTTTATCTTGTTATTATAACAATATTTTATATTTATTTTTGTACAATACTCAATATTTCCATTTTTCCTATATTTGAAGATACATTTTACTATATTTCTGGATGAATTATATTATATATATTATCCATTTGTAGTTGACCATTTATTCGCTGATAATTGTATGGTCAATTGTAATATCATTTCTGGATATACATACTTGTGTTTGGACATTTTAGCAACATGTGGTTACTTTTACATGTTTTAGTATATAATAAGTGCATATATACATGAGAACATTCCAATAAAAATGAGTGTAAATGAGTGTCTCTGTACATGTGAACATATGGGCAATAATCGTCTATCCAACGTCGAAGATGAGAGTATTAAGAATGATTGAAAGCATTTTTTGGACAGAATAGGTCATCGATATCCAAAAAACCTCATCCACATGATCACAAAGAGCATCTGATGAATTATATTATGTATATTATCCATTTGTAGTTGACCATTTATTCACTGATAATTGGATGGTCAACTGTAATATCGTTTCTGGATATTCATACTTGTGTTTGGACATTTTAACAACATGTGGTTACTTTTTACATGTTTTAGTATAAATGAGTGCATATGTACATGAGAACATTCCTATAAAAATGAGTGTAAATGAGTGTGTCTCTGTACATGTGAACATATGGACAATAATCGTCTATCAAACGTTGAAGATGAGAGTATTAAGAATGATTGGAAGCATTTTTTGGACAGAATAGGTCATCGGTATCCACAAACCCTCATCCACATGATCATAAAGAGTATCGTCACTACCGATTTAGATCTGTAAAAACGAAAAACAAAAACTAAAAAAACTCAGAAGCACTTACCTAGATCTGTCATCCAAAGTGATTGAGAAATTAGTATATACAAGTTTAACATAAACGAGAAAACTCATAAGCACTTACCTAGATGCTGCAATGGTATAGAGATGGTGTGTGTGTGTGTGACTTTTCGATTTGTTGGAGAAGACGAAACAGGGCTACCTTCTCTATTTGTTGGAGAAGAAAAAAGCTATAAACCACTTAGTTTTATTGATTTATTATATTCTTGTTTAATTCAATTATATAATTAATAGTAACCAAGTTACGAACGAAGTTACTCATCAATACGGACGACGACGGAGGGAGTTGGAAACATACGAGACACAATTTCACTTTATTAGGGCAGTTTGTGTTTTTTTTTGGGACAAACAGTGCCAAAAGTACACAACAATTGCAAAGTGTGTCTTTTGTAACCTCTCCCCCTTAAAGTGTGTTAGGTGGTAAATCACCCAATTTTAAATAGGTGAATCTAAAAGGATCGGACAAAATTGTCGATAATAGAATCGTTATTGTAACAATTTTAATAATTTGCGATAAATAATAAATCAAGAGTAAAAAAAGAAAAAATGGGTGACCAAACAAAAATAAATTAATTAGATGACGAATTTAGCAAAAGGACTGGAAAAAAAAATTAAGTAAAACTTCGGCTCCCACAGGGGAGCAAATGCGACCGTTTTGATCTCATATTCTCATCCTTATAGCCGCCGGCAAAATTGATCGGTAAAATATTATTCTCCGACGTTTCGAGAAACTTCAGAGTCGTCATGCTCTCCTCCTCTAGACGCTCTCTCTCTTCTCTTCTCCGATCAAGTTTCCATCTCCGCGGTGACACTGCGGCGGCAGCAGCTGTCTCCTGTTCCTCTCCCTTCTCCGACTCGGTACTTATTCAATCACACTCAAAAATCTCAAATTTCTCACCCCAATTGATTCGCTTGTAATGCAATTGATAACATAGAGATTGATTAGGGTTGGGTTTTTTTTTAATTGTTGCTTGAATCAGAACTGTTGATAGATTAATAATATGTTCTTACTGTTGAACTTTGATCACCATTATGTGACGGTGTTGGTGTTTCCACAGTACGGTGGGATCAAGAACTTGCATTCTCGAGCTGGGGAATCAATCTTATGGAGAAATAGTCAGCTATGTTGTTCTCAATTTGAACGAGAACGAGTCTCATTCTCACTATTTAGATGCTTCAGCGGTGGTAATGATAAAGATCCTCGCTTGGATCGGAGTTTTTTCGTTCAGCTATGGGTTTCAGATAAGAAAAAGTTTAAAGCTTTGGAAAAGCGATATCGGAAAGGTTCTAAGTATATGAGAAGTTATCCTGAGAATGATGGATTGAGTGACCATTTTGAGAATGTTGAGCCTATGCTGCAGCAACCACCGGTTAGTCAGTCTATGTCTGGTCTTCTGGAGCCTAAAACTTCTGAGGAGGTGAGGTGACTCATTATCTTTCCTTTTGCTACTAAACCATGATATGATTAAAAAGTTGCTTTCTTTAATAGGTTTGGCTTGTAGTAATCTTAATCTATGTATGAGTGCCTGTAACTTGCTTTGGTTAGTTATTAGTTTAAAGAGCGTGTAAAAGCATTTTCAAGTATCTTTTGTTAGGTGTCATTTAAACTTTGTGACATCAGTGTAGTATAAAACTGAGCAAATGAACTGTTGTTCTGTCAACTTGTATAGATGGAACCAAGTATGGAAAAGTACCGCAAGAGATTCATTGCACTCTTGTTATCACTGAATTTCTTGAAATATAGAAGTTGGAAATCATAATCTTATTCAATTTTTCTTTGAAGGCCAAAATTGCAACTCTGCTTGCACGATCTAATTTGCTGGTTACAAGGGACATTGAATGGGCAAATCTGGTTCTTGGTTTTGAACAGGTAATTTTTGTGCCAGTGCTCATGTTCTTCAATTTAACTATGTAATTCCGTTGCTTGTTTCTGATGAATTTACTTTACCATGTTTGTAACTCTTACATATCAAATATCCCTTCATTTCATACCCTTTCATCTAATTTCTCTTCCCGTGTAGCTGATATATCACTTGTGTAATCTACTTTTCTTTCTGCAGGAAAATCGATATATTGTAGTAGATGTTTGCTATCCTCAGGCAGTAAGTGATATCTCAACGCATATATTTTGGGATTTCATTTACGGAAGTTTTATGTGTGGAGGGCACTACTATTACATAAGACCTTGAGTTCATAACAAATTTGCCGAATTTCAAACCTCTCTTTTCTCACTTTCTTGACAGCCTGTGGGGTCTATCCGGGAACAAAGCAATTTAATTGCACGGCAGGTTACATTCTCACTCTGAAATTTCCTTTCTTCATACTTCAGCCAATATCATTATTTGTTAATACCTAGAAATTGGTTATCATCAATGAGCAGTGTTTAAAGTTTTGACATGTTACAACACAATATTTCCTTATATGGGCATAGGAATGGTTAAGGATTAAACTTTCTTTAAATAATTGATTGTCTAGGCTTAATTTTGATTGTTGAGGCTTCACATTTTTCTCATGCATTAGATTCTCCAGGTTATTTGTTGTTTGAACATCTTTCTCTCAGGAAAGTGCATACAGTGATTCTTTCCTCGTTCAAAATCTTTTTGCTAGCTATCAATTGCATCTGCTATTTCGTTTTTCTTATCTAGCCTTTTTTATTTCTCTTCTTTTTATGTTTGGAAAAAGTGCGCTGAAATTGCAACTTATCAAGGAATGAAAAGTTTGCTTAAAAAACATGTGCTTAAGTCTTCATAATAGAAAGTGTAACATTAGTCACTAAAAGCTTGTGTCACCTCTATCAGTTATCCCCAGACGCTTAGACTAGATCTGTTTCTATTCTCTTGCTAGCTCAGAGATGTTGCATCCTGTCAATTACATATCCTGTTGGCAGTAAATTTCATATGTGTTGACTGTCTACCAAAATAGTAAAAACCATTCCCCAATGATATAAAAAATATTTGCAGCTTCTTCGTACCCGGCGCCCATTTGTTGCTTCCATAACTGATGCTTTGGGTAATGAGCTTTGCCGGGTGAGGGTTTCATGGATTCTGCTGTTTGAAAGTTTGTGGCGAGAGAATTCTTAAATTTCTTTTAACCGAGATGATTTCTCTACATCATTTAGGTTCGCAGACCTTTCTGGTGGATCACAAGTTCAATATATGCTGAGATTGACGGAGAGGTACACTTGTGTAGGATTTCAAGCCATACAGTAATTTAATGTTAAGTTGTTAACTGTTCGATTTGGTCTCATTCTCATGTCTGGTACTGGTGTAGGAAATTGGTGTTGTTCACCGAAGATGGCATCTATGGAGAAGAATTTATGATTTATACCTGGGGTAAACTTTAATTTTTATAATTGGTATTCTTAAATGCTTGATTGACCTATCAAATACCTCTTCTTTAAAATTTGGGGGAAAAATACCTGCATCTTGTTTGTCACGTATAGCTAATAAGAATGGTACAGACTTACAGAGCAGTAGAACATAACTTTGATTCAAGAATCAACACGTGTTCTGCTCTTTGTTATCTGACCAACATCTTTGGACAAACCAAATTATTGACATTTGATGTTTGCAATCTGCAGGAACAACCAATTTGCAGTGGTAGAAAATCCTGGGTTCTGGAATTGGACATTTACAGTGAAGGATGCTGATGGAGAAGTGTTAGCCCAAATAGACCGTGATTGGAGGGGTTTTGGCTTTGAGGTTTGTGTACTTTAACTATATGTAAGACTTAAAGATATATTGTGGATATACAAATCTAAATGACTCCTTATATATATGATACAGATATTCACAGATGCTGGACAGTACGTGATCCGATTTGGAAAAGCTGATGTTGCAGCCAAAACCGGGCCTGCGACAACGGTGGGTTTACTCCTGTGTTGTGGACTCTTGTATTTTTCATTTGGTTGTTTACTTTAACCGTAGACATTTGATCGAGCTTTTCTTATGCAACTCATGACAGATAGAAGAGCTAGAAGTGAAACGGCCATTGACTTTGTCAGAACGAGCTGTTGTCCTGACACTTGCTATTTCACTCGACAATGATTATTTTTCCAGACATGGTGGCTGGTAAGTTTTCCTTATAACGATCTCTCTTGTATGAAAATTTAGGCTTTTATTTACTCTCTTAATAACTACAACACTGAGACAATGGACTTTATCTGAAATCATGGTCCTGGTTGTCGTTGGCAGGGGAATCCCATTCATGGCGGTGGGTGAGTAGTAAGTAGGGTTTTTCACAATCTCTGTTTCAGGTAATGATTCATATGGCTATCCGAAAACTTGAGCTTGTGCTGTATTTCTCCTTGTTTCAATTCTTACGAATATGCAGAGTAGATGTAACTTATAATTTGACATAAACTCATATAAGGATGATTATTTTTGGATGATGACCAATGTGTCGAAAGAGTATACAGTATATGATACTTATGTGTCCTGGGAAAGAACTAGATCTGTCAGTCTCTGAAGTGATGGAATCGACCATTGTCGTTGCAAGAACAAGATCAGTGCAAACATTGCCACAAAGCTGCCACTAATTTTGTCGCAGTCTCATTTGGCACAAATGTTCCTGGTAATATTTTCCATTAAGCTCCCAGAGAAGAAGGAAACGTAGCAGCAAGTAGGCAATAATGGTCGATTGGTAGAATAAAAAAGTCAAGTCAGATTCAGAGTTCCTATATTTCCATAATCTAGTTCATCTTCATATTCAGAGGTCTTTCTCTATAAATACAAGAGTTCCTTAATAAAACTAGGACATCTCTATCGATCAGAAAAATTCATCTTCATAGTTTCTATATTTGATAATAATCATGTTCGTAGTTAAGTTGGAAAAAGAAGCCAATTATATATTCACTACGGTTTCAAGCTGAGCCTGTGGCGTTAAGTACCAAGTCCTTTGAAACAAAATATTGTCTCAACGAGAAGAAGCTTCACCTTGTTCTTGACTTGGACCACACGCTTCTCGACACTAAAAAGGTTTCACATCTCTCCCATGGCATGGATCATCGTCGCTTAGTAAAGCTACGACCTTTTCTCCGCGAATTCTTGAAAGAAGCCAATGTCTGTTTACACAATCGCTACACACAACTACGCTAATGCCATGTTGGAGCTGATTGATCCTAATAAACTTTATTTTGGTGATAGTGATTACAGAAGACGAGAGTCCTGATGAAAAGACAGTAGATCTTGTTTGTGCTGAGGAGCGTGTGGTGGTGATTGTTGATGATAACTTGTGATGTTTGGTCCGGTCGTCATAAGGATAACCTAATAGAGATTCGTAAGTATAATTACTTCAGCGTCTTTTTTTTTTTTTTTTTTTTTTCAAGAGTCAAATTCTTAGTCTGAGAAGAAGACATACGAGGATGCAAACGACGGTGGTTTGGCCAATGTTTTGAAATTGCTCAAAGATGTTCACAGTAGATTCTTCATGGTCAAGGAAGAGGAGCTGGAGTCAATGGATGTCAGGTCGCTGGTACATGGTCAAGGAAGAGGATTTGGAGTAAATTGATGTCAACTAGTCACTCCTACAACAAAAAATATAGACTCTCGATTCTGGATCGGTTCGGTTCTACATTTTTGGAACCGTATTATATCCAAAATACTTGGATATTCATTTGGTTCGGGTAAAATGGGTCCGTTTGTAAACGAAATGTGGCAAAATACCCAAAAATAAAAACAAATAGAAGGAAAAAGTAGATTAGGTTTACTCTAGATCCGGGTAAACGGGTACCCATTCGGTTCTCGGGTAATATCCGGATCCGACCAGATATCCACGGATAGAGAAGAACAATATCCATCGTTTATTTAGGCAATAACTGAATCTGAACTAAACGGGTTATTTTTGGGTCGGTTCCGGTTCGGTTTTTTGGTTCTGGTTTTTATGCCCAGGGCTACTTGCAACACATTCAAATATAACTAACCACGCCAGAGTTTTTGATACAACATAAGGTTCGTTGTAATATTGACCGTCCTCTCCAGTTATAAGTTCAATACTTTTGAATGGTACTTGTTGGATCCACCTTGTTTCCCCCAAATACGGATTCCATACCACAAGTCTTTTATCCTTGGTGGTGCAACCAAAACAACAAACCATCGCAATGAAACTTTTTGGCTATAGTTAGAACTAGGATCCTTTAGGCTAAGTGCACTCTTAAACTCTATGGATGTAGCAGCACCGTCGAGGTTGATGCTCACTGGATAAAACCTATAATCCTTTTAAGATGAGAATCGTAGACTTTGCAGCTTCGTGAAAGTGCTTTTGGGTGAATCTTAATTTTTGGTTCTTTTTCAGTAAAGCGTTCCATTCTTTGCAAGTAGATATTATAAATTTTGCATTGAAACATAAATATAAAACTCTAGATACCATATAAACTGCTAAATTTAATAAAACATCCGGTTTAGCATACTGGCTAAAGCCTTTCAAAAACCTACTTGATTTCTCAACAAAAAGATTTCCCTGTTCGAAGCCTTGCAGCGGATTATACCTTTTCTACAATTAAGTTATAATTTTTGCTAAAATAAAAATATATTTACAAATTTTTTTTGTTTAGATAATATTTTTAAATTTTGCATAAAAACATAAATATAATCTATCTACATCTAATAGATTTATAATTTAGCAAAACATCCCTTGTAGCAAAATGGCTAGTGCTTTATTATCTACTAGATCACCCACAAACACTAAGCCTAGCAGCAGATAAAATTTTAACTATTATTATAAAGTTTTTCTTAATATATATTTTCAGATTTTTATTTTTATTATAAATTTTGCATTGAAACATAAATATAAATTTATATATACCACAAACATTGGTAATAGAGCAAAGCATCCACTGTTGCACATTGGCTAAAGCCTTTCAAAAACGTTTAACTCAACAAAAAGATTTCCTGGTTCGAAGCCTGGCAGCGGAGAATACCATAAAAATAAATATCTAATAGATTTATAATTTAGCAAAACATCCGTTGTAGCACAGTGGCTAGTGCTTTATTATCTACTAGATCACCCACAAACACTAATGCAAGCCTAGCAGCAGATAACATTTTTAACTATTATTGTATAGTTTTTCTTAAAATATATTTTCAGGTTTTTTTTATAGAAAAATTATAAATTTTACATTGAAACATAAATATAAACCTATATATACCACCTAAATTGGTAATTAAGCAAAGCATCCAGTGTAGCACATTGGCTAAAGCCTTTCAAAAAGGATTAACTCAACAAAAAGATTTCCGGGTTTGAAGCCCGGCAGCGGAGTTTACATTTTAAACTATTAGTTTAAGATTTTTGCTAAAATATATTTATAAAAATTTTGGTTTAGTTCAAAAATTTTAATTTTACATAAAAACATAAAAAAAAATATATCTAATAGATTTATAATTTGGCAAAACATCCATTGTAGCACAATGGCTAATGCTTTATTATCTACTAGATCACCCACAAATATTAATGCAAGCCTAGCATCAGATAACATTTTTAACTATTATTGTAAAGTTTTTCTTAAAATATATTTTCAGGTTTTTATTTATATAAAAATTATAAATTTTTCATTGAAACATAAACATAAATTTATATATACCACATAAATTGGTAATTAAGCAAATCATCCGCTGTAGCACATTGGCTAAAGCCTTTCAAAAATGTTTAACTCGACCAAAAGATTTCCGGGTTCGAAGCCCGGCATCGGAGAATTCTTTTTTAACTATTAGTTTAAGGTTTTTGCTAAAATATTTATAAAGATTTGGTTTAGTTAAAAAATTTAATTTTGCATAAAAAATATTCAAAATAATTAAATATCTAATAGATTTATAATTTAGCAAAACATCTATTGTAGCACAATGGCTAATGCTTTATTATCTACTAGATCACCCACAAACATTAATGCAAGCCTAGCATCAGATAGCATTTTTAACTATTATTGTAAGGTTTTTCTTAAAATATATTTTCAGGTTTTTATTTATATAAAAATTATAAATTTTCCATTGAAACATAAATATAAACTTATATATACCACATATATTGGTAAGTAAGCAAAGGATCCGCTGTAGCACATTGGTTAAAGCCTTTCAAAAACATTTAACTCAACAAAAAGATTTCTGGGTTTGAAGCCCGGCAGCGGAATATACATTTTTAACTATTAGTTTAATGGGTTTCGCTAAAATATATTTATAAAGATTTGGTTTAGTTAAAATATTTTAATTTTCCATAAAAAATAAATATAAAAAATTTAATATCTAAGAGATTAATAATTTGGCAAAACATCCATTGTAGCACAATGGATAATGCTTTATTATCTACTATATCACCCACAAACATTAATGCAAGCCTTGCATCAGATAACATTTTTAATTACTTAAAATATATTTTCAGGTTTTTATTTATATAAAAATTATAAATTTTGCATTGAAACATAAGTATAAAGTTATATACCACATAAATTGGTAATTAAGCAAATCATCCGCTGTAGCACATTGGCTAAAGCCTTTCAAAAATGTTTTACTCAACAAAAAGATTTCCGGGTTCGAAGCCCGGCAGCGGAGAATACCTTTTTAACTATTAGTTTAAGGTTTTTGCTAAAATATATTTATAAAAATTTTGGTTTAGTTAAAAAATTTTAAATTTGCACAAAACATAAAAAAAAAAATATCTAATAGATTTATAATTTAGCAAAACATCCATTGTGGATGTTGTTTTTGGTTGTCAAGAAAATCATTTCGAGTGGTCAATTCTGCGTAATGATTCACTATATTTGAGAAGCTGATAAGGATCAATCTAAAGCTTTTGCAGGTTGAATTTCAACTAGAATAGACGACAAGTTGAGCTGGTACATTTATTATGAGAAAAGCTGAAGCAAAGTACACAACAGGTCTCATAAAAAGTTTGATGAAAAGTGGGAATTTGCTTATTGTAAAGGGTTGATCAGAAGAAGTGCTCGGGTGATGGTGGCTATAATTATTTCTGATGGAGTTTTATGTTTGTGATTTCTTCATATGGATTCAGCAATCGATTATGAAGTGGAGATGTTTATATCATAAGTTCGAAGAGTATTCAAGGCTGTGCATGAAATGGGAGTATAGCAAAAATACTCAACTTCTTTTGAATAAGTTATCGGATGATTCATGCACATAAGTACTACTAAGGCTACGAAGTGTTGTGTAGTGAAGAAGAGTCTCAAGCATATCTTGGTTTTGGTTAGAGGATTTTCTGGAAGTAATAACCACGGCTATTATGATATTAAGCTTCAGGTATGCTTTGAAGTATTTTCATAGAGTTTTTAACTTAGTTATGCACTCAAGCAGGGGGAGATAAAGAGAGTAGTTGGATCTTAACAAATGAGGGAGTTATCTGGTCCGGTTGTGAGGATTTGAATGAAGCTTGATTTAAACGAATAGAGTGCTTGAGTATCAAACTAAGTTAAAAAGGGGGAGAATGACGCCATGTTAGATCTTTGGAGATTGATATGTAACTTAAAGCATATCTTAACTTGTCAAGAGATTACGATGATACATGAAGTGAGTGGATAGAATTGACATAGAAGATGAAGCAGTTCTTGTACTAGTCCTGCCGTTAATACAGAAAGTAGTACAAGAAGCTGAGTTGTGTGAGTACGTGAAGTAGTACCGGACGCAGTACAGAAAGCCGAGCTGTGTGACTACTTGAAGAGTTGGAGTACCGAAGTTTGGGACCGACTTGGACAAGGCAAGAGGCGGTTGCTGAGCTGGATAAACATTTTGAATAGTACATTCAAGATGAGAACGTGAAAGACAAATTTCCTTATCTATAGAGAATAAAGGAAATTTGTCAATTCCTATTTGGTGAAGAAATAGGAAACTTCCTATTGGTGAAGAATAGGAAGATTCTCAACTCTAGGGTTGGATAATTGTTATAAATACCAAGAGGGCGCTTCATGAAGACTTGGGCGCTTCAGGGTATTCACGAGAGATGCACATAAGGTGCGTGGCGTCGCCCCATCAACAAGATAGAGAAATCTTTTGATGGTTTTGTAGAAGATCTACACTAGTCGGAAAAGACAATTAGTGGTAGTTTTTCTTTCATTGTAATTCTAAGAAAGAGTTGGTGGATTCCATATAGCAGTTGTAGGTTGCAAACTTTTCTTGTTAATGAAGTCTGGACTAGGTCCCGGGGATGTAGGTTATCCGAACCCTGTTAACAAATCTTGTGCTTTATTTACTTTATGCTCATACATACTCGAAGTCAATCATACACATAGTTGAATTAGTCACACATATGCACTTTCAAAAAATAATAATGATAATTATTATGTGTTGAATCACAAATCACAAACTGAATATAATGATATGATTATTCTAAAAATAAATAAATAGCCTTCTTCTGAGTTAGGATGGGGAGCCTTTAGGCTAATTAGTGCACACTTAAAGTCTATGGATCTAGCAGTAATGTCAAGGTTAATGCTCAGTGGAAAAAACCTATATTCCTTCAAGATGGGAACCTTGCAGCTTCAAGAAAGGGCTTTTGGGTGAATCTTAATTTGTGGTCCATTTTCAATAAAGCATTAAAAAGTTGAAAGGTACGAAAAATATATTCCACTGCGGGCGAACCCGAAACTCAAATCTAGGTGAATTGTCCAGTTCATCGAGAAATTGCTTTAGTCAATGTGCTACAACATATCTTTGTCATATACTCTTCTCAAGCTTTGGTGGAGGTTTAGTGGATTAGCATCAATTTGGAGAACCTGAATTGTGTTTAAACATTACATCAATTTAGATTATGTTAACATTAAAATATAATTTATAATATATATTTTTAATTATATGTTCAGGCATTTGGGAACCCGTTCGGGTATCCAGCCGGTTCCAGTATTACCCGATTCCCGCATATAGAACTACATATGACCCAATAGGGTAATTGGTCATATCCAATTCTCTACCCAACCCGATTTTTTTGGATCAATTCCGGGTCAAGTTTTTGGGTCCGGGTATTTTACCTACTCCTATTTGTCTCTATGAGAGATGCAACTGCAATTTGATCCATGTTTTTCTTTAGCTTTTTGTGAACATGTGAAAACAAATTTTATATTAAAATAAAAATGTTTCTAAGAAATACTCTACTACTAAAACTGTAATGATCATATATAAAAAAAAGTAAAATTTTAAAATGTAAAAAATTAAAACAAAATGCGTAAGTAAATATCTAAATTATGATTCTCAATGTGAATATCAAAACGTAAAATTAAGATATTTGGAGATCTTGAGTTTATATTTATATACAAACGAGATATACATTTTAAGTAGTAAGTACTAACTTAACGAAACAATCGCGGCTTGAAACCCTAATGAGGATACGTTTAATGGCGCATGAGGAGAAGCTTCCATCGGAGTTGACTGAAGAGATACTATCTCGTGTACCACCATCATCTCTTGTTCGCTTCACAGCCGTATCCAAACAATGGAACGCTCTCTTACACGACAAAACGTTCATCAAGAACCACAAGACCACGTTTCAATTCATCTTAACAACCAAATCCAAGATTTACTCGGTAAGCATCGATCCAAAGATAGATGTATGTGAGCTAACCTTAGATGTTCCTAGTTTAGAATCCAAGATACCTAAAATCTTGGTTGATTGCAATAAGTTAATTGTTTGCGCCATGGAGAGAGGATTTATAGTTTGGAACCCATGCTTGAGACAAAGTAGATGGATCGAACAAGACTCGAACCAAAAGCAACTAAAGTCCCTTGGCATAGGATACAACAGTAGTGGAAGTTACAAGATTGTTTCTGGTGGTCCTCGGAAGGAAGAATATTACACCAACTACTTGTGGAAGATCCATGACCTAACCTCCAATAAGTGGAAAGATGGTGAGTTAGAATCTAATGGTAAAAGGCCAATATTACACACCAAAAGTTGTGTATCGTTGAATGGAGATTTGTATTGGCTTGTTTACGCTAGCGAGGCAAATCGCGTGTACTACGTATATAAATTCGATTATTCGAAGGAACATTTCTTTAGGTTCTGTGATCTACCATATAGGATGGAACATAGTATGGATGCTCTTGTCCTTAGAGAGTTTGAAGGAGATCGGTTTTCATTGTTAAAGCAAAGCTATGCAACAAAGAGGATTGAGGTTTGGGTGAGCAAGTACAAGATTAATAATGAAGGTGTGAAATGGATAATGTTCATGGAAGTTTCAAGTCCTAACTTGCCATATTTAGTAGACATTGTACGCTCTCAGCCAAGCTACTTCATCAAAGATAAAAGACTCGTCGTATGCTCTTGCGACAAAACTGGTCGGGCTTGGATCTATGTCTTCGGGGGAAATAGTTTGATTAGTAAAACTCGTATAGATTATGTGGTTGAGTCTTGGCCTTCGCACTATACATTTAGTCCGAGTTTGGTTCCTGTTCCTCGAGCTCAAAGACTAGCAAAGAGTTACTAGTTTAATTTTGTTTGTAACATTTTTGGCTTCTTGTTACGTTTTTGACGAAGCTAAGTTTGGTTTAGATTTTGGTTTTATTTTAATTCACAAACTATATCTTGTTTGTTGCGACTAAGTCTTTTTACTTAGCTTGATTTTTTAAAAAAATTAAGATTCTTTTTTTTTTCTAATATAGAACAAACTAGAGAGAATGGCTTTGATCCGAGAATAAAAGTTTGGTAGTTTTCAACTGTTGTTGGGTCAAATATTACTGAACTTTGGCTATAGTCTTAACTTACCTAGCTTGTGTACATAGTTTACCTTGTGTAAACTCTTCCACAATTACCTTGTATGGTTTTATATTGCAAACATCTAAAATATATTGTTTTGTCTACCTCATTTCTATTCTACTGATTTAAACGTTTCTTGTTTTTTTCTTACACAATGCTACAGTGTTTCTTGACTAAACTAACACGACGTGAGTGTTGATCACGTACACACACTTTATGAAGAAATCCAACTGCATTGTTTTCTCTCTTTAATCATTTATGTCGTGGTCAGTAAGTCATCTTTTGGACTTTTCTCATTTATGTTAAAGTGTTGGGTATTTGTGGACGTTGACTCAAGTCCAAGGAACACGCCAAAGACTTGTATTAAGTCAAGCAATCAAACTTATGTTTAGTAATATATAAGCACTAAGAAGATGGATTTTGATCTTATAAACCCTCACTACCATTACCAAACCCCAATAGCCAAGAGCTTTTTAGTCATTTTGAAACCCATGGATCGATTTCTGTTCTTCAATGTTTTAAGCAAATCCCACAAACTGTTTCTCAAGAACAAAATGTTGATGTTCTCTGTCTTGATATGTCCCCTCTTACTCAAATGTTTAGTTTTCTTGTTCAACCAAAAGCTTGTGGGTTCTTTATACATCTTCATGGCCATTAGCTTCTCCTCTATTATCAACCTCTATGCTGATATAGTCATCGTCCACGCATCAGCTCTTTCTCTTAAAAATGAAAACATCAAGATCATGCATTTTCCGGCTTTGGCCTTTAAATCTTGGAAGGGACCTCTTGTGACATCTTTCTACATTTTTCTTTATCATCTTGGATATGGGTTGCTCTTCTATATAATTCTTGGTCCTCTATGTTTGTTCTCTTTAAAACTTTATTCCTTGGTAGCCAAGTCTATCCCTTTATTGTTTCTATTCGAAGTATATGAGTCCTATTTAGCTATTGTTTGGAACTTTTCTATGGTCATATCGATACTAGAGGGAACTTATGGGACCAAAGCTTTGCGTAAAGCTGCAAAGGTTGTTAAAGGGATGAAGCCAAAATTGTTTCTCCTTAATCTTTCCTTCCGTTTATTGTCATTCGGATTAGCTGAAATGTTGCAGCTGATTAATTGGAGAATATCGTTTTTGGCTACCTTAACCACTGGTTTAGTCTTTGTGTGTTTGGTCTCTGCGCTGAGGATGTTTCAGCTTGTGGCTTACACAGTTGCCTATTTCCAATGTAAGAGCGTCCAAGTCAAAGACGTTGAGTCGCTCCGGGATGTGCAATATACCATATTGTCCTCCACTACTCTCTTGGGATGAGTGGCATGATAGTACAAGAGAAGGGCATATATGATATTATAATCGGTAAATTATTTTGAATAATCAAAGGTTTGGTTTGCATATGTAAAAATTTTAAAGGTTTAGTTGGAACTTGGAACGTTATATATTTTGATATAAGATTTTGTTATACATAATCACTATTTTGTTATTAATATTTTGATATAAGATTTTATTGTAAATTATGAGATTTTGCTATACATGGATAAGGAGGTGTTGTCAGGAAATAGTGTAATCTGTGGTGAATCTAAAAGGGTCGGATAGAATTGTCGGTAGTATAATCGTCATTGTAACAATTCTCATAATTTCCAATAAATAATAAAGCAAGAGTTAAAAAAATAAAAATTCTCGACTAACCACTTATGTAGTAATTTTAAAAATGTGTAAGATATAGTTAAGTGCAATATCTGTATATAAACAATGGTCGTATCATTCATTCTTTTTTCTTTGTTTTTTACTTTGGAATTTGTAAGAAAATATACGAATTTGTCACAAGAAGAATAGAACGTGATTTGTATGTAAGTCTCCCCGAATTTAAGAATTTGTAATTTTGGAAGTTCAATGGAAAGAGAATTTGTATTTTTGTTGTCTAATCTGATTAATATGTGTTCAACAATTAGGGAAGATGTATGGCAAATAAAAGTCACAGGAGATCTTATGGATCGCTTGGCCAAGAAAATCTCATTGACACTTAGAGAAATTTGGCTGGCCCAAACCTTTTAATTGCCTAAAGCAAAAAAAACATTTAGGCCCATCAGCAAAAATTGTTTGACACAAAATTAACCAAAAAAAGCCCTTAACATGTTGGGTTTGAACGCAAAACGTTGAAGCTCAACAAATGGGAATTTAACAACTACACCACCAAAACACTATATAAATGGTGCCTCAAGTATGTAAATACTTGATGTATTAAGCAAGTGCTTCACCAGCTTTAGCTCTAGAACGACTCTGACAGATAGGCTGGATTTGCTCTAAGTGTGGCCAAATTTCTAAAACTCTTCAGCGTCGAGGACTCAGGAATGGTCGGGAATGTCGACATCAGTCCAGCCCCTGATAGAGATTTGAGAGATGGTTTTCCGTTGAACGATCTTCAAGATCTTGGTTCTTTCTCAATGGTTTTGCCGACTTACCACACCGTAACTAGGCAGACTGGTCGTAATAGATAGGAAACAAGTAGTAAATATATACAACAACTAGAATATTTATTTATTGAAGTCTATGAATGCGTCGAGAAAATAGTGTCATAATATTAACATAAGTCAAAATTAGTGTCAGGATTTTGTCTAATAAATGAAAAATTAGAAAATGCGACTTTGGTGTGACTAGCGTCTAGCCCTTACCATATTTCATATTTGAAATAAGTTTCATTACGACCTTTTCTTATCTAGTAGTTCTAAATTACAACTTGTGTAGTTAAAATATGGATGTTATGGTAAAATATAATTTTTAGTATCTTCTTTTCTTGGGCATGTTTTAGACTGAAACAATTGTGTGATAAAGTCTTCAATTTCAAAGCAGTTAGCCTCGTTCAACTGTAGAGTACATTATATTTCAAGAGATATAACGAATATTTTTTTTCATAAGTACTATAAAAATAAAAAATAAAATATTGTATGTTACAAAACCAATACTACATTATCGCTCTTTGTTTAATAAAAATATAAAAAGTATAAACCATTCACTTTTTTCAAAGGTAGAATTAGTTGATTAACTCACAACTTGCTTACAAATATCCACAGTCTAGTTACTGTTTCCAAGTGATTGTTGGTGTAGGAATTAGCACCAACGACATAACGGCATAAACCAATAATGAATCGAATCGAATCGAACCAACGGAATCGGGGAATCCTGGTTTCGCATTTAAAGAAGATTTATGTTTATTCCTAAAATGGAAATGGGCGACTTTGTCTCGTTAGGGTTTATGAAACCCTAATCAAATATTTATGAGTATATTCTTTATAAATCTAGGGAATAACGAGCATTTATTGTAACCCTAAATCTCTTGTATAAATAGAGAAGATGCCTCTTTTTTAGAGCATCGAATAATCAATACAAAAAACCCTAGATTTTTGATCTATTGAGCGAAAACCTAACTTTATCCTAAAAAAATTGGGTCCCCATTTTAATGTGTGAATTCTTAATTCAACAGTGATATATTTATAAATTACACTTTCTATTATAGTCTCTTCTCCATCAGTACATATTCTTGTTAATGAGAAAGAATCGATCCTTATAATTTATAAAGACTTCTAGCTATATATATACACAAAATTTATAGTTATCTTTTGTATAGAAACTGACATTGTCAAACAAAAAACACTGAGATACTGTATTTAAACTTTCAATTTACATAATCATACTGTCGAAGTTTTACAGTAGAACTATGAAAATATTTTACTTAAGTTAGCACAGCTGATAATCTTCAAGGGACGCAAGATTAATGAACATAAATTTAAACTGATTCAATAAAAAATTTATTAAGACTTTTAAATAAATACAAATAGACTAGAAGAACATTGATCTTTTAAAGAGGAAGACAACAAAATTCAAACAAGAAATCATACAACAATAATGCACTTGGATCTAAACCAAATAATACATATTTTATTTATGATAATGTAGAAAGGAAATATTTTGTTTCATAATCGCTAAACAAAAATATCAATCTTTTTAAGTTTTGTAAATGTTTGGTTAGTATATTGGAGGAGGGGGAGAGCTATAGCTATAGCTTGTAGGTGGAGAATTGTAAACATATGGGGGAGGCGGTGGCGACTTGTATACATATGGAGGTGCTGGTGGAGAGCTGTAGACATAAGGAGGAGATGGTGGCGATTTGTAAACATACGGGGATGGTGGTGGAGAGCTGTAGACATATGGAAGAGGAGGGGGAGACTTGTAGACGTATGGTGGAGGAGGGGGAGACTTGTAAACATAAGGAGGAGGTGGTGGAGAGCTGTAGACGTATGGAGGAGGAGGGGGAGACTTGTAAACATATGGAGGAGGCGGTGGAGAGCTGTAGACGTATGGAGGAGGAGGGGGAGACTTGTAAACATAAGGAGGAGGCGGTGGAGAGCTGTAGACGTATGGAGGAGGAGGGGGAGACTTGTAAACATAAGGAGGAGGTGGTGGAGAGCTGTAGACGTATGGAGGAGGAGGGGGAGACTTGTAAACATATGGAGGAGGTGGTGGAGAGCTGTAGACGTATGGAGGAGGAGGGGGAGACTTGTAAACATATGGAGGAGGCGGTGGAGAGCTGTAGACGTATGGAGGAGGAGGGGGAGACTTGTAAACATAAGGAGGAGGTGGTGGAGAGCTGTAGACGTATGGA